TGATAGCTGACATTGTTTAAGAGGGAATACCGGTAATCTGGAGTGTACTGTTGCTTTCGTTAATATTCGAGGTTGCGCAGACCAAATTCAAAACCTCAGCTATTCGGGTCGCTTCCGATCTTTATAACTGAGATATTTAAGATCATTTGTTCATCTAACAATGAACATTGTCATATACGTCTAGCCTTTTAGCGTCGACTGAATCCCATTGGTTAAGTCGCAGAATGGCCACTATAATAAGTCACTCAACATCGTGTCTACTGTACATTAATTTAGTGTTTTGAGTTAGTTAGAAGCAAAAAATATATATAAATTTTACATTAAGACTGGTCAGCGAGAGGTACCTGGAATCTTGAGGAGACTGATGCTCAATGCGAGATTCAAACCCGCTATTTACTGACTGGGACTCTTGAGTTAAGGAATAAATATATATCTATTTAAAGTAATAAGTCATGTACACTTAAACAAGCGTATCTTTTCAAGGATCATTGGTTGCAATCTTTGTCAATCTTTACTAATTACAAAATATTTGACGATTGGTGATTTTTTTTATGGGAGTGTTTGATTAAATTCGGCAATAGTATTGTACTTATAAACTGATAAGACCTGGTTACACATTTGTTCTCAAATTTACGTTTCCTTTAGTAATCAGAGTATCATACACTGCACAGTCAACTCGAGGTCGGATACTAAAATAAATTAGTTTTCCTTCAGGCATCTTATCTAAATATTTTTCATAATACTATCGAATTATAATTTATGTCTTGGAGTGAACATCAATTCTGGGATTCTGGTACATCAAGATAAGGAGTCCCAAATATGATGAGACGTGCATCCTGGATTCCACTGCTAGCTACTATCCATAGTTGCTTATAATACTTGTGACTTAAGACGATATCGAGACAATCCGAACAGGATATACATATGTCAATAAGAGACTGATCAATTGTTGTCCTAAATATCAGTGGTAAGATTTAAACAAACAATACAAAATGAGGATAAACATTATTGTTTTAGAAGGGAAAATGCATTTCATTCTACCTACTATATACTTCACATACAAGCTAATAGTTTCATAATCAATACATTAATGTGCTTAGCTCACATATACTGATGATTTAATTAAAGTGTTAAACGGTCATTCTAAATATATTTCACAATTATAAATAAATATGTAATCTATATCAGAACAGGATAAATAAGAACATGTAATCAATCATAATTACCATCTATTAATATTAACGAATAAAATTTTGATCAGCCTCCTAGACAGATCTCCTCAGTGTAAGTCTATATCCTAAACTTATTTACACTTGATCTGTAACTAACAGTTAAAACAAATACCCAAGTTTCGTCTCATTTAGACCTCATCAGTTTAATGTACCCATATCTCGGTGTTAATGTTTTCACTGATAATTCAACTGATTACTTATTGCTCTAAACACCAAATGTTTTATTTAATGAGCTAATAAGTTCAGATTACTTCAATGAACATGAAGATATTATCAAGGTTTTCTGTTTTTTATTGTAGATTTTCAAGAATAAAATAAATGAATCTCTATTTCTATAAATGTGAATGTATATATTGATCATCCACTTAACTGAATGCAATGTAAGTAAAATACAAGTAGGCACCAAATACATATGTGTCACACAAATCTCGTTTGATATGTGTGAGGGATGTGATACTGCTCGGGTGCCCAAGCCGAAACGGGTGGTTTTCTTAGAGAGCCACACCAGGAGCATTCAACCTAAAGGTCTGATCCACAAGACAGTGGAGCAACGTAAGGTGATGCAGTCCCATGGTAGCCGAGGACCAATAATTGGTTTGGAATCACGGTTTTCCAACTCCTCTACATGTCCACCTACCCGGTTAAATCACCGGAAATTAGCTTTTCATCCTCTCACTTTCGCAAACAACACCCGTGGTGCGAGAAGGCAGTGATTAGGACTTCCCTGGCAGAGGCTGTATATGCGTGGCCATGTGAGAGCATTTGGAGAGAGAGAGCAGACTCTCCCCACTCTCGGCCGTACTAGGGCATTTGGGGGCAAGTAAATTACAATGTCCATAGATAAAATGAATAAGTGATATTTTAATTTTTACATATCGTATGGGAAATTTTCGCATCACAAAAAAATTTATGACAGTCATAAAAATATTGGAGCAATTAAAATGATAATCGTGTTAATAATAATAGCCATAAAATAAACATGATGACTTAATGATGTTTCTAATGTAACTAACTGAAAGATGATGATGATGATGACGATGAGAAGGAGAAGTAGGAGAAGTAGAGATACTATTCAGTTTGTCAGGATGTCTTAACAATCGGATAATTTGTAATAGGATCATGTAAATATTGCCGTAAATCTTCCTATTTTCATATTTATTCAAACTGATTAATCTTTGAATGATATTTGTATGTCGTTATTGGGAGTTGTTAAAAGTGCGGTATATTTAATAGTTGAATTCACTAGTTAGTCTAAGCTAAACCTAGTGTTGGACAACCATTTCGTTCTAGTATGGGAGTACTCAGCAGAACGCATCTAAGATCTTTCGTGTGCGACTCGTAAATATTAACTGGAAAAACACCAAAATCTCCACAAATTCTCAAATTGATAATAATCGTATGCTAACTAGTAACTAGCTTCAAGATGGATTTCCTGGATTTCTAGTAAGAAACCATGATCAGTGGAGTTTAATCAATATCGTATGTAATTAATGGATGAAGGGTTGGGCATGATTATGGATTGGTTGAAGTTTGATGTTAACACCACAGGATAAAGTCTCGGTGGTCTGGAGTTTAAGAGTGAGCACGTGAGCCCGAAGATCTTGATTTCCAGTGTCGTGTGTGGGACCATAGATGTACATTGCTGATGTGTCCTATACTAGCATAAAACTGCCTTCTAGTGCTTACAGGTTTTTGATGCTGGTATAACTTAGATCAACTCGTGGATTCAAAGATTAACTTTGTCATTATACACAATCATTGAATTATTGCAACTTAGTATGACGTTAAATAATGGAACATTTAAACAGTAATGCTACAGTAGATAACATATTTTGAGATAATGGAGATTTGTTGTTCAGGTGGATGGTTGTGATGATGGTTTGGTCGTAAAACTTTCATCAACATAGACTTCAAATGGAAGTGAAATGTTTGAATTTCTCTACAGATGTTTCACAGGTTGTTCTGTAGACCTCGATATTGATTAGTTATTGTTGGTCTTAAATCTGTCATTGTTTACTTCTTTTTATTATTTGTATCTCCCATTGATCAAATCAATATAACATCGACGATGAACTTCAGCTTTTACGAAATACAGTAGCTTATTGGTATTCTCCCATGTTATAATAAGATTGAAGCATTAAATTAGAATGTAAAATATGTAATCAGCTTATGACATTGGCATATAAACAACATATCATTTATCAGTTTTCACTATGACCATATTTTATTTAGTTAAATACACTCAGGTCTTGTTCACTACCATTTAAAGTTAATCATTGTAACTGTAGACGACAATTATGGTATGGTTTAATTCAGTCGTTGATTTACACACACACACACACACAAATTTGTTAAAAAAGCCTTGAAAAAACCACCAATTATATGGGTAAACTGTTAACAACTGAAGAAGTAGAAAACATCCAACTGATACCGAAGAATGTTTTCCTTCTGTACTTACTATACAGATTCAGTATAATATAACTTTTAATACTAATCTCAATTTATTATTTAAAAAAAATAAGGAAACCTATTTGAAACTAAATTTATTAGTGACTAGATAAGTCATAAATCGTTTGAATATTAAACAAAATGGTAACATCAAAATCTAACTTTATGTATCGACAAACATTTTCTGTGAGATCATCGTTGACCGACACTATATAGCTTATACTGCATACAACACATATGTAGGTTAGTGAGCGAAATAGCCCAGCTTAAAGCGTTAGGGCTTAAATAATGCTTAAAATTGATTGTCTAGTGTCGAAATAATATTAATAGACCACCAAGATCATTTTTATCGTATTTGCGAAATTTTTATTTTTCAAACTTTTTAGACTTTCAGTTAGGGGTAGTATATAGAGCTGGAGGTCTCATATGAGACTGGAGGTTCGCCATTGGTATTGTGGATGGTTCGGCATTGCTTTGACAAGTTTAGCTGACTGTTTATGCACAAAATTGATTTGTTGGTTAACCGATTTCATTCATAATGGTGTTTGCTTTCCAGTGTTCCCGAGGGCCGTTGTCATTGGGACATTTAAATGTATGTCACCATTGCTAACATTATTGAGTTTGACGATCGTGTAAGTGGAATAGGTCAACTTTGGCCTGTTCCTGCTGTGCATAATTGGTTCACGCGATCATTGATCGGAATAACTATACATGTGATGTGAATGTGTGTATATGAATGGTGCGAATGGTCCACCAGGGTGCTTGGTACCTGTGTGATTGCGCCACAGGATTGAGCTGTACTATTCAGATTGTAGCGTTAAAGCCTATACGGTATCTGGTTCTCCTGTGAAGCGGGATTGAGTTGTACTGTTTGGGTTATAAAATTTAGGCCTCGGTGGTGTCTGGCTCTTCTGTTAAACGGGGTTGAGCTGTAATGTCTGGCTTGTCATGTGAAAGTTTGGATGGTGTCTGGTTCTCCTGAAAACCAATGTAAAATTACCCTATATATATATTTCATTATAACTATTATTATAACACTAAAGTAACTTTGAGAGTGTCCACTTAATAACTAGGAGCAAATGAGGGTTATAAACCAGTGTGAGGAGTTGGAATTGTGATTTACAGTTGATGGTTAAAATTAAGTATTAGATGAGTGAATTTCGCGCCAAAATCCGAGACCTCTTATTTCATACCTGATTGGTTCATCCATAAATTATAGTCTCACCACATTTTCCATATTCGATTCTTATCGTTTTTACTGTTACAACTCTTTGTTAATCTCATGATAAATCTCTTCTTTTTTATTGTTGTAATAAACAGTGAAACATTATCATTTGCAAGTGAACGTATATTTACCAGTTTGGCCAATATACTGGGCAATCATACCAGGCTACAACAATACGTTATACAAAGTCTTAAAGTAATTTATTTGTCTTTTTTTTAAACGAGTATAAGTATCTTCTTTCAAGTCGATATTATACAGTGTTGATGCACTAATAAGATTTTTGAATAAAAAAAACAAAGTATAGAATTCTGACTACAAACTTCTTATTTTTATTGAGATCATGAACCGATTGATGTTAAACCAGCACTGAATAATGGACAACTGTTACATCTTAGTATGAGACTGCTTAGTAGTGCGTATCCTTGGTCCTATAAGCAAAACTCGAACCCAGGATTTGTCGGTCTCGCGCGCGAACGCTTAACCTCTAGATCATTGAGACGGTATACAACGGTGTTATTGTCTGATCTCAAACAATCCACGAATTTTCTCGATCATCTTTTTTTGTACTGAGGTAGATACCTGTCTTTTCCTGATATGGATTAGCTCCGCTTCAACCTAGAACTCTGAGAACTGCCTTACAAACTAGGCTAGCGGGATCATGGATGTGCACAACTGAGGAGTCCCATACTAAGACTTCCAGGTTTTCTATGATAGTCTGATATCAATCAAACATTATTACGTTGTTCACTAATCCTTTGAGTAGGCATAATCACAAACTTGTTCAACAGGGAATACATAATTCATTTTGATTGATATAAAACAAAATCATCGAAATTTTTCATACATGTTTATTGTATTTTATTCTCTCTTTTTATGAAAACAAAAACAAACAAACAGACATTTAGATTCACTGATATGGATAGAAAACTTGGAATTTATCAAGTAAGTGATATACGCTTAGATGTTAATATATGTGAGTGTAATGCAAGTATATGTATCTATATATATTCCTCATAGAATGTTATTCAACTATTTCAGCTATCTACTTCATTCACTACACTATACAGTTTTCAATGATACAAAGAATGAAATTAATTTTCATATTTACTACTTATTTTAATTAAGTAATTATACAAATTATTTTAGGAAAGGTACTCACATGCACATAATGATAATCAGAATAGAAAAAAAGAACAATCTCTTTTACAGTGTTTTGTGTGAAATTAGATGACTTTCATCCATTATCATTATCATCATCAGCATTATTATGTGAAATATATACATTGAGAAAAACTTGTGTATATTGCTCAATATGTTTATGGTGAGCTTGCAAATAAACGTTTTTGTATGGTGGTCGTTAAAGGTAGTCAATGAGCAACTCAGGATTTGGATTTCAGTCTGTTTGGAACTCGTCAATATAGTGTACTTGTGATCTTGAAGAAATTACTGCTCCTTGGTGGATTTGATCCTATTACAGCTTTTTTCACAATCAGAGATGCTATCACTGAGATGTTTTTTTTACAATTGATTGATCACGTGTATTGAGTCATTCTTAGAGAAAATTGAATTTTATCAATAAAGTTGCAATGTGGCTACAGGACTAGGTAACATGTAGTCGCATGCACTATGTGCTATAGTAGGTCAGTCACGGTTCAGATAGTCTCTGATCATGAAGACGGCTGTTATGGTATCGTATCCAGCAAGGAGCATCATTCCCCTATAGATTAGAAGTACACTTTGGCCAAGGAATGGCAAATAGGATGAACAAAACACAAATAACCATGAAAGACAAAAATTTTTAAAACTATGGTGCTTTTCTCTAAGCTACAGATAAATATTCAAAATCGGAACATTTTCAATAAAGTTTAAATAGTCCATATCATTTATCACTATTTATGATGGTTATGCTTAAAATTGATGTATTTAAGCACAAAAACATATTTCACAGAAAAGATTCTGGATGATTAAGCAGCGTAGAAATGTTCCGAGTTTTATTTATTTATTCTTTGAATATAAATGGTCTAATAAAATCCAATTCATAATCAAAATTAGATAGATGGTAACAAATAAATACGGGACGACCATTTTGCTGTAGTCGGAACTTATGAGTTAGATGTACCATAATCCTAATGTTGACGTTTATACGGAGATTTAAATATGTGTCAAAAGCTAGTAACTGTATAGAATTGACAACATTATGTGTAGCTAAAGGATACTGGGTTCAAGTTTCGGTGATAACATCAACATTTGGATTTATGTTCATAAATCTGACCGATTTGAAATCTGATGACATGAGTTCAGTGGATGCAGATGGTAGTATCTATCGTAATTTCATAAAAACATATGACTAAATGGGCAGCTGCTCAGGATAAATGTAAGGTAACAGAAACTGATCGATAACTATTGATCACCCAATAATCAGAAAATTGGAACACATACAAACTAACTCTATTTTATTTTTCATAATAATATTAATATTCTCCACTTTGGAGGTGAAGTCGAAGACCGCTTTCACACTATTTCTAACAACTGATTTGTGCAATGGCTCTAAGATTCGCACTAACCACTTTGCAATTTTGTGACAAGGAGAATTGTACATACCTAGAACTGGACGTAGAGGAAGACCCAGTTTATGAACTTTAGGCAAACCATACAGTCGTGGTGTAAATGATCCAGTCGACTTCATTTAATCATGAATCTCAGTTGTAATTATTCCCTTTTTCTTTAGATCCTTAAGGAAATTAGCCAATTTTATTTGTATAAAATAGTATTAAACTTTGGTGTCTATATGAAGACTTTTCACATTACTAACAAACTTTATTCCCCAAAACTATTGAGAACTGTCGACTATTATGCGAGAATTTCAAATGTCCAACTAGCAGTTAATTTTGTTTTAATTCAAAGATTTTAAATTTTAACATAAATCCCATAAACTATGCAGATTAGTTAATTGTACAATATAGAATAATGTAACACCGTAAATATTGATTATTTTTATCTCTTTGTAAGAGAAAGATACATGATGATTTGTTTCCAGTCATATGTACAATGTTTACTTTATAGCCTAATTGATATTATGATTGAATATCTTAGAAAACTAGACAGAAGTATCCTCTTAGTATGAATTAAAAGAACATATTGCAGATCATAAATTTATGATACATTAAGTAATAAAGTGTTGATCACAAAGCATGTAGATAGTGAGACCTATCCCTGATGAACTCAAAGGTGAACATTTTTAAGGATTCGTATACTAATATGAAATGGATCTTCAGTATTTGTTAGTGTCTCATGATTATCTTGGTGGGATTAGCTGACTGATCTTAATAGTTGTTTACCAAGTGATCATAATGAAATTCGTGATATAATTGTTTTCCAAGCTGCTTTCAATGACGATGATAAACTAGCCACTGTATAATGAGTAAAATCTATCACAAGGGATATCATCAGTTCGTCGTTGTTGATTTGAATTTCTTTAATTTGGTCCAGGAATTACCTGAGGGATTTGATGGAGTGGTTAGATGAATCTACAAAATGTTTCAGTATTCGTGAAATTTCTTTTGACAAATTGTGTGTTGATGTTCCGGGGAGTGCTACAATTGGATATGTTGGAATGTTTGGTTTTTGTATTTATGGTTTGCCGTAGAATTGAGGGAGTGCATCGGTGATCATTAAGTGTACCATTTTTCTTCCACTTTGCTCAGCTATTTTCCATCCTAATAAGCAGTTGATTGGAGGTCTATATCTTACACTTGTTGGTAGAACATGCTGGCGAAGACATTCATGGAGAAAATATAGTTGTTCTCGAGTGAAAGCCTGCCTTTTGGCAAAATTCTCCCATTTTCGAACAACGAGAAGAGTATTACGCTAACAAAATCATAAGATCTATCACATTACATATGTACAAATACACAGTATTTCGAGAACCTCAACTTCAAGATTTTGAATATTTAGTTAAACATGTTGAAATTTAGCTTAACGATTTCTCTTGAAACCATTCCAAACACTTGGTTGTGTGTTAAATTTATGAATCAGTATATGTTTTTTTCTTGTTGATTAATTATCCTGGAAATGACTTACATATCATTTTGTTTCTATCTATATTCTATAGTTAAATGAATTATTACGATTTCTACACACTGGTCAATCAATGTTTCATAATAATGTTTCACCATGTTCAATTTTAATAACACATCGAAATCAATGGCGACTTGGATCAGCTGCTTTCATAGAATCTACCCGTCTAGAAAAACATGATATATCTCAAGTAAGAATGTTTGTTTTACTGAGTTTCATTGGTTAAAAGTACAATACACTTACGTTTTTGAATGATTTATCAGTCAATAACTTACTTACACCTGTTACTCCTAATGGAGTATAGGCCGACGACCAGTATTCTCCAACCCACTCTATCCTGAGGCTTCTTTTCTAGTTCTATCCAATTCTTGTTCATTTTTCTCATGTCTGTTTCCATTTCCCGGCGTAATGTGTTCTTTGATCTTCCTCTTTTCTGTCGGCCTTGAGGATTCCATGTCAGGGGAAACGATGAATTGCTACAGAATAATTAAAAATAAAATGTAGCTAAATAACAACTTTGTTCTAAATTGTTAACTCTCATATCCTAAATTATTCTTTGTACTAATGGAAAACAATTAAATTTACGTGCAAGTAACTGGGAGATTATTTTGAGTTAGAGTTGTCACCCCATGCAGTTATCATAAATACATAATATCGATTGTAATTTTAAATGATTAAGGTTATTTAGTAAGAATAAGCCTAGAATAACGAGTTGGGTTGTACAGGCAAGTATCCTCTTTATCTGTCTCCAATAAATGATATCCCGTTAACGGAGTATTTAATGCTGGTTAAATTTCCTAGTCGTGTTATGGATTTACTCGAGATTATTCAGAAACCTGAACACCAGTTGTAGAGTTATTTTATTGTTAAAGATTAATAGAATCCACAAGCGTACAGTAAGCAAGCACACTGTGAAACCAAGACTGTGTATGTGTGAATGTTAAAAATCCATATATATTTATGAGCGTTAATCAAGTATGGATAAATTATTGATTGTCTGTGTATTACAACCAATGGGAGAATAGATTAAAATTTGAAATGTGTTCAATCAGAATCACAGAGAAAATTACATGATGGATCAAGTTTCTAAATTACAATGAACAGATAAATAATACAGCAGTTGAATGGGCTTACTATAGGTGCGTCATCTATGTGTAAATTACTGTAGAGTATTTAATGAATTATGTCTGTAAACCCAGTGAACAATAAGTCACTAAACAGCGATCTCGAACATACGCTGTCCTGAGCTCTCGTTTACAAGTGTTGACAAATGTGCCATTCATTCTCTTGATGTATGTCTCCAGTTCTCTGACCAATGTGTTCTTTGGTCTGCCTCTTTTACTTTCACCCTGACGATTCCAAGTTAGGGCTTTTCTCCTGATGCAGTTTGGTGAATTCCACAATCTGTGTTCCATATATATTCAACGTCGTTTCCTCAACTCCTATTCATCTGGAAGCTGCTTTCTCCACGGACACATAATGTCTAATCAACTGATCTGGATTATCTTCTACAAACGGGTGTTTATATATAGTTTATATATATACGTCCTAATAATGGTTAATTAGTTCTTCATGTTTCAGCTCCGTACTGCAGAACTCTCTTAACGTTTGTATTGAAAATTCTGACTTTGATGTTGACTGATATTTGTTTTGAGTTTAGGATGTTCGCCGATTTTAGGAATGTTGCCCTTAGTTTACCAATCCATCCTTCCACATCTGTATCAGATACCGCTTGTTTATCGGTAATACTATCCTGGTACGAGTTTCTCCATCGATAGTGATCTAATTTGCACTCTCTATGTTGTATCTTATGATCTCACTTTATCTTAATGAATGTTGACGCTTACTGCATCAGAGGTTGTCACTAAAATGAATGTCTTCACCATGAAACCCTATACGGATATTTCGAATCAGTACGAGATTTTTTAGCTGTATCATTTCAATCATGATATTGTCACAGATCATACCATCATCATAGACCCTACTATAAGCATTTAATCTTCAAATTAGTGAGCTAATACTCATTTGTTTACGTTACGTCCTTGATCTGCCTACTCACTTTTGGTATTGAGGATAACTTGTCTAATCTACATTAAGAGATTGATGCGATAAGCTGATTGGCTTAACCTTAAGGCTAGTATGCGGTAGTTCGAAGTGAGAGTGACGTAAACTAATCTATCATCTGATTCGCTGACAAGTATTTGAATGAGAGAAGACAAGTTAACTGGAACACCACATGATTTATTTTCAATTCCGATCTGATTCCCAATTTCCAGATCAGTGTAAACAGATACATGAATAAATAAATGACTAATCAAACCATAACGTACAATAATTAGGAAAATACAATTATGTCCAAAACTGGAGATTAGCATAGAAAATAAAGTACAAAATAATATGCTTAAATTACAATGGCTTTGGAACGGAAAAGGCTATGGCAGTGAATCGTACACCAAACGAAAGCTTATGATCTGTAGAATAGACTAGGGATAAAAATAAATATTACTATATTACAACCTTTGAATAAAATGAAATAACGTCCCGAAAACTTTCTTCCGTAGTTTCTCATAGTTTCTTGTTTCTCTGTTCACATCAGTTTACATGTTTATATTTTCTAATTACTTTTCCTATTTTTTTTTAATGTCATGTTTATTAAAAACTATACTTTAACATTAGTTCTATTCTAACCTTATAAGTTAATTAGTTAATTTCATTTCCATCAAATATAACCTTTAAAGTTTTTCTCTTTTTAAAAAAGAAAGTTTATTTCCAAAAAGAAAAAAAACACAAAAAAAACATTTGAAAAAAATTTGAAAAAATATAGAGAAGAATCAAACGTTCAAGGTCAAAAGTTCCCTTTTTATTTCTTTTTCATAATTCTACTCAATCAATTAGATTAGATTATTGACATTATAAAGTTTTCTTTTTTTTGTTTTTTTTCTTTGTTCTTGTTGTTTTTGTTGTTGTTGTTGTTGTTAAGCTAATTTTATATTAAACAATTAGAGAAAACAAAAAATATAACGTTTAATTTATCATTGAAATATATTCTATGATCGGTCATATCCAAGCATCCATTATTCGATGATATATTCACTGAAGAGCGAGAGGGAGAGAGCGAGAGAGAGAGAGAAAGGGAGATTGAAATGTTTCGAAATGCTTTTTAATGGAAATGAATTCATTCTTTAATGAAAACTGTAATATACATAAATGGTTTCATTTTATGTTCAATGATTGACATGAATTCATATTAGGAAGAATAGAAAATAAAAGGATGTTTAATTGCTATAAAGTAAATTAGTTTATTGAATTACTAGATTGTATTATTTAGTTCTTTTCTAATAATATAAAAATACTTGAATAATATTAAATAATGTTTAGTTCATATCAGAAAGGTTTTTTGTGTAGATATTATAGTAATTTCGATGGTTGAAGTTAGACAACCATGGAAAACCTGGAAGAACTGGACGGCTGTTTCGTTTTAGTAGGGAACTCTTCAACAGTGCGCATCTATGATCTTGCTTCGCGAGATTCGAACTCACGATTACTGATGAGTCCCACAATAGGACGAAACGTCCAATCAGTGTTTCCAGGTTCTCTATGGTGGACTAGTTTGTTGATTAGTGTCTATCATAGTTTATCAAGTTTTGCATAGATTATATCTTTGTTATAGAAGCGTCTAGCTTTTGAATAGGGAAAACGAGTTAGGCTTATTTTTTACTTTGGTGGGATTCGACTTTAAATATTTGTGTATTGACCATTTCATATTGGCTTGAAAAAAATACATCTTTAATTAATCTAATATTACTTCATTCACAATGAAATTGCAAGCACTATTGTTAAGTTCAAGATTCTGTTATGCTTCTACAAATGTTAGTGAGATTAGTACAAAAATTCAGTTTGAAAGCTTGATCTGTCAAACAAAAGACCTTATCCCGGTATCTTACAGAGAACTTGAAAAGTTTAAAACAATCACTGTAATTATAAGCAAAGATGCATATTGGCTAGCAGTGGGATCCAGGACGCGTGATTCGTCCTATTTAGGAGTCGTCATCTGGATGTAACTGCATCCCAGAGTTAATATTCATTCTGGAACTTCAACCCAGTACCGTTTGCTTCAAACGCCATTGAATCAAGCTTTTTATTATAAGTTCTTGATGATGTTGCTGTTCAGTTATATAGATTAGTCGAAAAATACACATATACATACATAATCGTCTTTACGTAACTTAGGTTAATTTTGTATTGAAAGCAATATACATGTGCAACAGATCATTAGAATTTAATCAGAACTAAGTAACAGATATGCACTACATTTGTTTGCATTTAATGATAGTAGCTCACTTGTGAGTTATATATTGATTACTATTACCGATCCCATGTAGAACATTACCTTTGTCAAAATTATAGAGTTGACTCACTGACTACATCATAGTCTTAATTTGATAGTTTATAGTTATCTTATATCAAATATACCCCGTTACATTTATATTGACTTACCATTGAGTAGTAAGCAATGGAAAACTTATCTAATGCTTGTTACTGATCAAAGTGTAATTCAGTCACTATTCTAATTGGCTTTGTATCACTTGTGTTGTGATGTAAAGCCAATGGAGATAGTTGTAATTGAAAATCATAAGTTACCTTTCTAAAAATCAATGTTTAGATTGAAATATAAAGCTGCTACAACATTGATCAAAAGTGAATTTGGTCAGTGATAATATGATGCTTTGATAATATAGGAACCTAATTTTCTTTGCTATCAAACAACTTCGTTCGACAATACGATGTTGTTTCTATACTTTCGTTCTTCTTTCTTTCTTTTTTCCTATCTAACAAAGTATGAATTAGGTCCTTCACCATGGACAAGAAAATGGCCAAAAATGGCTAGACCAGATTATCATTATTCAGCACCAGAATGTTTAAATCTAACAAATAATAATAATAATATATCAAGTCCATTTGCTGGATTTCTTACTAAAACATCTACAGATTTATATCATATAACTAATAGAAATAGTCCAGATCATACAATGGAAACAACAACAACAACAGTTACATCAACAATGAAATCTCGATCTAATTTATCTGATGATATACCTGGACCATGGTCAGATATGTTTTCATTAGGTTTAATTATTTGTGCATTATATACAAATAATAGTCCAGCTGAAGGATCAGTTCAATGGTTACAAAATATAAAAAGACGTGGATTTGATAATGATTCATATACAAATACAGAGATATCATTTGTAAATTGTAAAGAAAATACTATACAAGAAACTAGTACAGAATATCTTCATGCAATTCAATTAAATCAAAGTACAAATGTAAGATTTTATATTAATGTTATAACTGTGTGACAGTAGCAGCTGATTTGAGGGGGGGCGAATTATCGATCGGACCAAAGACGCGCAGACACGTAGAACGACCTAGGGTTCTGATTGGTCCCGCTTCCCTATCTAGCCCAGTAGTTGAGTCCAGAACGAAAGTCACAGCCTCGGATATATGAATCATTATATTTCAAACATACTTTGTTTATATACCAGTCAAACAAACCACATCATACCATAAAATATAAAATAACATTATACAATATTGGCCAGTAGGAAAATGACACGTTAAATAAGTATTGACCAATAAGAAAATAATACCATGTCCAAGTCCAAGAATAGCATCAGGCTAATAGGATAATTTCTGGGATATTTTCCTGAATATCCCAACAATTAAACTAATTGATTTCAATAATATTTCCTTTGAATAGTTGAATTATTGAGTCAATTGAAGTTAGACAACCATGAAAAACTTGGAAGCACTAGATGGCCATTTCAACCTGTTGTATGACTCCTTAATAGTGCGCATACACGATCCCGCCTTGCTAGATTCGAACCCAAGACATATCAGTCTCGCGCGCGCGAGTGCTTAACCACTAGATCACTGAACCGGTCGGCATCCAACGGTGTCAATGTCTAACTTTGAAATATTCACAAGCTATTTAAAACCAGAATATACATTTAATGAATTCCATGACACATTGTTCATTATGTCCAACTGTGTACTCACTAAGTATTAAAAGTCAAGAACATTTCCATGTCATATATAAGGTTTCTGAAGTTTAAAGATGAAGTATAATATCTTCTGCTTTTTGTTGTTGTTGTTTAACTGCTTACATTGTATGATCAGGGAATGATTGTTGTTTTATTTCCATGGTAACAATTGTCCAGAAATATCTACGTACTTTCCTATTACATGTGATATTAAAATTACATAAGAAAAATTAATTATTCATTATCACATGTTATATTATACACATGATTACATTAGAAATTACACGCTTATCAATCATAATAATTTCACTTTATCCAGTTGATAAAATAAATATTCTATTCGTGAATTGAAATGAAACTTGACCATCATGGAAAACCTGGAAGCATTGGACGACTGTTTCGTCCTAGTATAGGACTCTTCAACAGTGCGCATTCTATCATAGAATAATTATTTCTATTGTCATTTAATATATATTTATATATAATAATTTAACATATTTACTTATTCTTTATATAAACATGATTTTATTTATTTTAATAGATACCTGAAGCATTTCGATTGTCAGTATGTCGTATGCCTTTAGAATTAGTTGAGCCTGTGGAAAAATTATTATCAAGGAATTCACAAAAGAGACCAAGTTCTCAATTATTTGCTTTAGTATGTTTCTTTTTAAAATGAACATTTTCTATTATTATGTAATTCACCTAATGTTGTTTCAATTGTATCTTCCCATTGTTATTTACGACTGCAATTGATCAGTCTCATGTTGGCATGTGTGCATCTTGTGCGGATTGCCTCGACATAGTCTTGAGTCACAAGCTTTCTAAGCAAAGATGGGTAGTGGCTAGCAATTAAATCCAGGACGCGCGTTTTGTCAACATCAACTCCGATATGCAGGTACATCCAGCTGATGAGTACCAAATATGTTTAAACGCGCATCCTTGATTCCATTGCTGGCCAGGAATGATATAAAAACAGGATGATTGTAAGACTTCGATGATAATCAGAACATCAAATGAGTATGATCTTATATTGTTTCCTATCATCGATTCACTGTTTCACTGACTGATGTGAGTTTAGAAGACATCGTTTAAGCATGATAATAGTAAAAGGAGGCTTGATGGCCTGTTTTAGTTCTGACAATGATGGTCTTTCAGTTGATCCAACTTTCTTTTGAAAGAATTGAGAGATGGAGCCTCAACTACGTGCCGGGGTAATGAACTTCAGTCGTTGATGATTCGATGGGAAAGTCGGTAGTCAGCTGACAACTAATTTGTACTGGGCTAGTGAACTTCTTTTTGAGTGTCCTCGTAAATTCTCTGTTTTGGAAGACAAGAAAAATGAGGACATATCAAGTGCAAATTTATTACTAAGAAATTTAAAACTGTATTCAAGTTACCTCCAATTCTTCGATATGATAACGGGAAATGTTAAGTTTGGCCATATGAGCTTCGCTATTCCGGGAATCAACTTAATTGTAGTTCACTGAACCAATAAAATATTTGTGTTTATCTTAAACCATAGAAATAGAGATCAAACTGGTGTTCTGTTATAAATGAGTGTTTCATAGGGATTATTGTTAACGTATTTGCAATCATAGTTAATTTGTTTACTAGAAATATCAAATACAACAGAGAACAATAGTGGAGTATAGGGATAAAACATTATTTGATATAATGAACATATTCAAAGTTTGATTTCATAACTCATCGTCCTATATGGTACTATTAAGTACACACAATGTTAAATGGAGTTAAGGTGTTTCTCCTATTTCGATAAAACTTTCTATCAAGAAAATATATCTGCTGCCAGACCAGCGAAATCATTGTATAATTCAATATATTGTATGTTTCTTATACTTGATCAATTGCAAATTCACTAGTTCATCTACTGTACACGATAAGTGAACAAGCGCTTATACAATATTGTTCACTGGTTCAACACATACTTATCAGAATAGTAGAAAGCTATTCTTAGTATATTGTATTATTCTGTACAATTTAGGTTTAAAAGCTCATATGGTTATAGATGTATATAATATCAGACTATAACTTACTTACCTACTTACTTAAGTCTCTTATCCCCAATGTAGTATAGGCCAGCCAATAGTACTCTCAATTCAACCCTGTCCTTTCCAGCTTCTTCCAGTTGTTGTTCATCTTTCTCATATCCTCTTCTATTTCCCGACGTAATGCGTTATTTGACCTTCCTCTTTTCAGCTTCCTTTCAGCATTCCGTTTGATGATTTCCGTAATGTATGTCCAAACCATTTCCACAGTCTTTCCATAATTTCTTCTTCAGCCGGAAGCTGGTTTGTTCTCTTCCACATTAGGCTGTTACTGATGGTATCCGACCAATGTTGAGTATATTGTGTAGACGACCAAATATAAATACCTGTACCTTGTTGATTGTGGTTGTTATAGTTCTCCAAGTTTTAACTCCGTACAGCAGGACTGTTTTGACGTTCGTATTGAAGATTGTGACTTTGATATTGTTTGGAAGTTGTTTCAAGTTCCATATATTCTTCAACTATAGGAATGCTATCCTTGCTTTGCCAATCCTTGCCCTTACGTTTGTATCCGATCCTTTTGTATATCGATGATGTTATCCAATTACGTGAAAGATTCCACATCTCCCAGAGTTTCATCATAAGGTGTGATTGATTCGATGTTCTCCTTGTTGTATTTTAGGATCTTGGTTTTGTTCCTTGTGAATGTTGAGACCTACTGATGCAGAGGCTGCTGATACACTAGTTGTTTTCATCTACATTAGTTCGTGTGTATAGGATAGAAGGACTAGATCATCTGTGAAGTTAAAATTTTCAAGTTGATTCTGAGATGTTCATTGTTTTCCGTGTTTTCCCTCAGATGTCGAGGTCCACATAAATCAGTCAAACACTAGAAGAAAAAGGAGGGGGGAGAATCGACAGCCTTGTCTGATTCCGGTCCTTACTTGGAATGCGTCTGTCAGCTGTCCTCCATGCATGAATTTGCACTTTAGTTTGTCATATGATCTCCATAGTGTCGAAGAAATGTCCATAATGTTCTCCTGTCTACACTGTCAAACGTTTTTTCATAGCCAATGAAATTGATGTATAGTGACGAGTTCCACTCAATGTATCCTTATTCTTTAAAGATTTTTGATTGAGATCATGAACCGATTGATGTTAGGCAACCACCTTTGGAAACCTGAAAGTACTGGACGGCCTTCCGTCCTACTGTGGGACCACTCAGCAGTGCGCATCCACGATCCCGCTCGCGGGATTCAAACTCAAGGCCTTCGGTCTCACGCGCAAACGCTTAACCAACTGGACCACTGATCCAGCATCCAAAGGTGATAGTGTCTAACCTCAACCAATCCATGAAATCGCGCGACCAACTTCCGTTACCTGTCTCTATCTGACATGGATTGTTCCATCGGATATCTTTCAACTACTCATAACTTAACAAAGATAAAAAACAGAACAAATATTTTCTTTTAAACAATCCCAATATCATTATTATCTATTTTATTATTCATTTCTAGTTGAAATTTTTCAACGATCCTACAATGTTACTATTAGATGGAATAATTAATTTCGATGTGAAATCTGATGAAGATAGAACAAGAGCATTACAAATTTTACAAAATAATGCAGAAAATTTATCAAAAGTATGTTTAATAAAATAGTGTTTATAATGAAACTATAATTTATGGACGACGTTTGAGTAACGTTAGACTGACTTTGAAAGTGTCCGTTTTAACATTCAAGACTAAATGAAGTTTATGAACTTGTGTGAGAAATTACATTGATAATTTACAGTTGTTGATTAAAATTAAGAATTCGATTTCGGTTATTCATCAAGAACTGACATCAACTATAATGCTACGATTCTATTTATCCAAATGGATAAATGAATATAGTGTCAAATTCCGAGACCTGCCATCTTATACGTAATTGGTTCGTTCATAAATTATAGTCTTGCCGATTGTTTCAATAATCTATTGTTAAATTAATTGACTTTTAATAATGTTTATATTATGATTGATTATAGTGTTTAACATAAGGTATTAAGTTTTATCAGTATCTGTATTATAGTATAGTATAGTTTTGAACTAAATGCAGATAAAGACAGCTAGTGTAGCAGAAGTCTCTGCATCAGTAGGCCTCAACATGCACAAGGGAAAAACCAAGGTCCTTGAATTCAAAACGGAGAACAGCAATCCAATTACTACCGATGGCGAAACTGTGGAAGAGGTAGAAGCCTTCACATACTTGGGAAGCATCATCGACGAACAAGGAGGTTCAGATGCAGACGTAAAAGCGAGGATTGGCAAAGCAAGGGCTGCATTCCTTCAGTTGAAGAACATATGGGAATCAAAACAAATTTCAACCAATATCAAACTAACAATCTTCAATGCAAACGTCAAGGCAGTTCTACTTTATGGAGCTGAAACTTGGAGAACTACAACAACCACCATCAAGAAGGTTCAAGTATTTACAAATAGCTGTCTTCGCAAGATGCTCAACATCCATTGGCCGGATACCATCAGCAACAGCCTTTTGTGGGAGAGAACAAATCAGCTTCCAGCTGAAGAAGAAATTCGTTAAAGACGATGGAAATGGATGGGACATACATTATAGAAATCACCAAACTGCATCACGAGGTAAGCCCTAACTTGGAATCGTGAAGAGAAGCTGAAAATATGGAGGTCGATAAACCCATTCCGTCGAGAAATAGAAGCAGATATGAAAAGGATGATTAATAACTGGAAGTATCTGGACAGGATTGCGCAGGTTAGGGTTAGATGAGGAATGCTGATGGGCGGCCTATGCTTCTTCGCGAGGAGTAACAGGCGTAAGTACGCATGTAAGTAAGTATAGTTTTGAACTAATAGTGTAATGCATCTGGGACTGAATATCCTACGTAAGAACATATTAACGTTTATAGCATCTGGCTCTTGTTCAAATCTCAGTAAAATCATTGACAATAATACTAAGATATATTTAGCTGACGATTCTCAAATAAAATGATACATGAGAATTAGTCGTTGTTGGGTATGTAAAATAAGAAAGTAACCAATTCATGGTAGTTGATAATTTAAAGAGAATGTTGTGGATTTCATAACTTGAATGTGTTCATACGGTAAATAAATCCTTCATTATAATAGAGTGATTGAATTCATAGTTATACTTGGCTTAAATAAGGCTATATACTTTAGTTACAAAGGCTGTAAATAAGTGGATTAATATGTAATTGGGGAGAAATATGAACTCAATAAGTTATACTTTCTAATACTTATGTTATTTCGTTTCGGATATTGATGACATTGGTCATTACCTAATGATCAGTTTATTGTAAATATATATCAGTCATAAAAGAGATTGGTCGCATCCTTAACTGTGAAGATAGATGACACAGGATTGGATCTGTTAGGGAACATCAGTTCCCTTGATGAGATTACTAGTGCACCTTGCTGACGAGTGTCGAATAGTATAAGACCTAAGTTCAGAGTTTTATGTCGATTAAATCCAATCAGCTTCTCAGTTTATTCAAGGTTTTATATATTCCTTTCTATTAATTATCTGTGATCATCGACAGTCAAAGGTTAAAAAACCCTTTCATCAAAGTGTATATTTATTATATGTAAAAATACGATGTATACAATAGATTGCTTAACATATATTACTTGATGTTTTTCATCTTGAATTAATTTTATAACAGCCAATTCTTTATGGTCGAATAATGCCTACATTGATTGAATTACATCAACAGCTAGAAACAAGACAATTTAATAAACCATCTAATGATTATAATACAACAATGTTAACATCTCATTTCTCTATATCACAAGTATCACATGAAGATAATTTTATTCATTTAGATTCAGTATTAATTTCTGGTCTAGCTCATTTAATTGAAGTTTGCTCTTCAATGGATTATACAGATTATATTGAGAAAGATTTAATAAATATCTTTGATAAAAGTTCAAATTTAAAAGTAAGTCTTAGTTGTCATGGTAAATGTTGTATTGATTTTAGTACAGATTTACTTAAATGGATCCATAATACTAATTATCAAAAGTGTTAAGTACAAATGTATTGTTATATTCGGTCGTCTCAAATTGTTATGCCGGAAAAGAAACGCTGATCACTTATACTCGGAATGAGGGACCTCGGCAATTCCCACGATGAGAAAGTAAGAACACAAGACTGGTATAAGTGAAGATTTATTAGCCCCAAACACTATGATAACGACGAATCAAAATAGTCTAAAATATACTGGTTTATATATTGATTGTACACCCATTTTGATTAGTAATTAGGATGAAATCACATACTCAGTTATAACAAATCACTTACTGAGCATAATTCATGTCAAGTGAATACAAGAATATCGTTTATTATACACAAGACAGTATCATATTGGGAAAACAAATCAAATACTACACTGAATGATCATCATCACATTAAATTAGAAGGGAAGTAATGTTGAACAAAACTCATAATGAGTAAATCAATCAAAAATTGACTTTTCTTTCCATCATATCACCTCCCATTTTTTCTGAAGATATGGAGTTGATATCCGGATTTTAAATTTTCCGAGTTCATATCATGTATGAAGCGGTAGATATCCGGACACTAGTTATATTCTATTTATATTTCATTATCTAAATGCATCAGAATCTCATTGTTAATTGTTTATATTACAACTTGAATCTCTTAACTTTTACTTCAAATATTATTCATTTATTCACTAAGCTACTGAGCTCAGATCGCTACTGAAGGGTTAGCGTTTTTAGCTTGGTTTTTTATCGAGTTAGTTTTCTACAGGATGGAGTCTCTAACCCTATGAATAGTCTGGTTGTGGAGATTTCATCATTCTTCTGAATGACATCATTAGCACAAACTTCAAAGTTTCTAACCCCTAGCTTTCAGCTAAAAAAGTATAATATTAATCCTTCACACAGTGTTCTAATCCCTCCCTACCATTAAATCTTATATTATGTATATAACATTTACTATGTATCAATTTGTTGTATTAATCTCCTATTGTATTACTTTCTACATTTTAGACAAAAATCTGTTTAGTACGTCATACACGATCATTTTTAAGACAAGTTCCAGACAATGTAATTGAACAGTATATTTTACCATTAATGAAACAATGTTTAGTATCAAATAATATTACAGCTCAGGTAATTTTCATTCACATTATATTTCTATTATACAATAATCAAAATAAGTTTATTTCTCTCTGAACAGTCACTTCATCTTGATACGGCACTCTTCAACATTGTGCATCCAAGATCTCGCTCATATTGCGCATCGCTGAGGAGTCCCATAATAGGACGAAACGTTTGTTTAACGCTTCTAAGTTATTTATGGTGGTCTAGCTTTCATGAACTCATGAACAAAACTATTAGATTATTAAAATCTCTATAAAACCACCTTCTAATAAGTCCATTCTATGTTGTAACATCTGAAAACAATAACCATAATCATAATCATAATCAGTGAAGTGTATAAAACACAAATACATAGATTGATGATTAAAGATAAACAAAATGGCTAATTTGTTTGTATGAAAGTAAATTTAATTGAAAATAACAACTTGAATATAATTGAAAAGGATAAATGAAGTGAATTCTTATTTGTTGTTGTTGTTTCCTTCTTACCTTTCTGTTGCTAATTAATGTTTCTTTGAATATACTAATGAAGTATGATGTTTTGTAATAAAGTAATGAGTCTAAGACTACGAGTAGAATAATAAAAAGTTGAGCTTAATTAGAGAAAGGATAGAAAGTAGGATAAACCATTAAATAAAGTGATATAAAGATATCAGAAAGGTTTTTGCTGAGATTATAGTAATTTCAATGGTTGAGATCATGAATCAGTTGAAGTTAGACCACCATGGAAAACCTGGAAGCAATGAATGGATATTTCATCCCATTTGTAGGACTCTTCAGGAGTGTGCATCCACGATCCCACCTCGCGAGATTTGAACTCAAGACCTATCAGACTTGCACGCGACCGTTTAACCACTAAAAGGATAACTAAATATTAAGATGGTGGGGAAGATTTGTAGCTCAAGTGGATGAGTTTAATAGGGTTTTGTTCTCTGAGCTGAAAGGTTTGATCATGAACAATTATAAGACCAAATATCAAACCAATAGGAAATACAACTAAAATAAAGAAGTAAACAATGATAGGTTTAATGTCGACAGTAATCAATCAACATCAAGGTCTACAGGATAAGCTATGAACCATATATGTAGAAAATTGAACATTTCACTTCTACTTAAAGTTTGTGTTGATGTTGTCGTTCAGAATAACGATGAAAGCTCCACAACCAAGCCATCCAGCTCAGAGAACAAAACTGCATCAAAATAATTAAATGTTAAAAACAAAGTGAGAATAGGTCTTTTGTTTTTCTAAACGTTTGATAATCAAGAATGCTATTGGTGTTATGAATCAACCTAGGTTAGACAATTATTTAAAGCAACAAGTAACTAAGAAACGTTTATTTTCCTAGTATGGGACTTCTTAGTTGTATATATCCATGATCCCACCCAAAGTTGGACCTTACAATCTTCATGAACTCTCTAGTTGCTTGTTTCGAGCAAATAATTCAGAAATTCTAGTGGTAGGTTCTAAACAGTGTATTTCAAATATATCGATCGTGAAACAGTTGCACAATGTTTTGAATTGACCGAGACTAGACATCAAAACTATTAAAATCCGGCTGAGTGGTCTTGAAATCTCGCATTTACCACAGGACCTTAATATCTTGAGTTTGATCTTTAGTGGAATAGGTGATGTTCAATATTGTGAACTTGTATAATAGAACGAAATATCTATCTAATACCTCTTAATTTTAAACAGTTGTTTAAATAAATCCTGTTTATAATGTAAATCATTTAATTCAACAATCTAGACAAACTCCTTACTTTAATAATAAAGTTGACTATATATGATTTGTCCAAATCTACACCAACTGATGTAATACCCAGATGATGAACAGGAGCTAAGAATTTTATTTGTTTGAACAATTTCAGAAGAACATTATTGAGTTATTGAATTTGATTATACTGTATGAATATCAACGCTTAAATGTTGTCTAAATTTGGTTAACGAGTCAAAACTTGGTTAAAAACGTGTATCTTGAATTCGTCGGTTGGCGGAACAATTAACACGCGTAGCGAAAATTATGATCTTTATAAATTAACTAGATACTTAAGGAGAAAGATGAATTTCCCTGATTAATGAAATAACAAGTTCACCAGCTTATTATTAAATGTAAAAATTATAATGAATAGACATTCAATCGAATGAAATGATCGCTTATAATGTGATTGAAATAACTTTCAGTAATGGGGTTGTGATGATTGTTATGTTTTTTGATTGAGATCATGAGTCAATCAATGTTAAACCAATATTGTAAACCGTGAAGCATTGAACGACCATTTAGTTATAGTATAGGACTCTTAAAAAGTACGCATATGCAATTTGACAAGCAGAATTGAAAACCAAGACCATCTAGCATGAGCAAACTTCAATTAGTCAACAAAATTGCACTACAATTTTCGATTATCGGAGATAGATACCTATCTCTACCCAATACGGATTAGCTCCACTGGTTATGGCTTTTCACTAGAATTTTATAAAATCGTAATTTTTATCAATAACATAAACTAAGTAGATATCATTCAACATAAATCATTCTGATCAAACGTTGAGTATAAGTCTTACAGAAAGAACGGGTAAGGATAAATTCCATTATCGTTCGTTATTTTGACTTAGCACTTGACAACCTACCAAAATGAAAGAGGAATTATTATTTACATTATTGTAATCCATTCTGCAGGGTATGTGTCGTTCTCTGTTGTTTTTATTGATGTACATTTTCAAAACATGTCAAGTTTTCCATGACGACAAATTCTACTTCGCCATGCTACGGATGTGCTAAGTGTAGCTCAGTCGACCGTATTACAATATAGCAAAAATCATACCTTCAATTAATTCCATGATAGAAATTATTCCAGTATATCTACAGTTCAGTAAATAATTCATCGAAAACATAACCGTAATCACTAACTACAATACACTTAGATACATTGACAACAAGAAATTTATCCTTAGCCATAGTTTTCTTTTTCTGATCCAATTTATGTATATTGATAAAGATGAATAATAAATTGTATCTACAATTATAACTAATCTTTTACCATTATCATTATTCTTGTATTATAGATTGTTGCATTTAACAATTTAGAATTGTTAGTTGGATACATTTCATCTTCAGATTTAGAGATTATTGTATTACAAAAAATTAAACAAGCTTTTCAATATAATCATCAACAGTTACAGGTTAGTAGAAATGATCGATTATCAACATAATGTAGAGCACATAACAACTTGCTATTGTACTGATTGAAATCATAAGTCAATTAAAGCTAGACCACCATAGAAAACCACTCACTGAAGACAATGGTGTACGGTGGTGAAAATTCGTGGATTGGTTGAAGTTAGACATTAACACCGTTGGATGACGTCCAACTCAGTGGTCAAATGGTTAAACACTCGCGCGCGAGACTGGTAGGCTTCGGGTTCGAATTTCGCGATGTACGGGATCCTGGGGGCGCACTACTGAGGAGTTCCATACTAGGACGAAACGACCGTCCAGTGCTTCCAGATTTTCCATGGTTGTCTAGCCTCAAATGACTCATGATTTCAATCAGTGAAATCTCTAAAATCCTCACAAAGCCCCTTCTGATAACTTGTTATTTGTAATTGTCTACTTTGATGAAATTTTTAAAAATGAACCCAGGAAATATGAATAGATGTTGTTAATTTGTTTAGAATTGATGACTGGGGTAAAGCTCGGATCTAAAACGTTTAGTATACACAAGGTATATATCATCATTAGATCAATTAGATCATAGTTCTTGTTTTATGCTAAAACTTTAAACGATTTTGTCTGTCTGTTTTATTTTTCTAAGTTAGTTCAGTAATTAAATAGGAAATACAGTGAAATCTTGTTTTAAACTATGGTGAGGATGAACAGAAGTTGTATTGTGGTGTGTGCTATTTATATCGACATAAGTAGTGGATGACGTTAGTCAGGAACAAAATGTCTGGGAGCAGAGAGACAAGAGGATCAAACAGTAAAGAATGGGAACAGAATGCAATTTGTATGAAAATGTAAGAACAATGAAGTCTGAGTCGTGTTTAGACAACTGATGGATATTTTGCGAATTAAGCATTTACTATATGGTTCTCAGATCTTATTGAGATGCTCTGTAATTTTGTACTCAAGTACATTCGATTGTCTCCACTGGTGTTGATGTTCACTACAGTATCAAACTAAATTCACTAATACAAGACAACTTTTTCCTTAAAATATATTTTATTTTATACGTATTGGAAACAGATCATTTGTAAGTCAGGTGTTTTTAACTGAACAAAACACCGTTGGATGTCGGTTCGATGGTCCAGAGGTCAGGGATTTGCGTGTAACTGAGGCTCCTGGGTTCGAGTCCCGAAGGTGGGATCGTGGATACGAAACAATCGTCCTATGCTCCTAGGTTTTCATTTTGCCCATTAAATAATATTCAAACTTAATTAAGATTTCATAATATTCAGTTTGATAAATACAACAGTACACTATTCTTTAAATAAGTGTTCTACTCAAAATGGTCACAATCATTCGATGGCTAAATATATTTAAACAATTTAACGAATAAAAACGAATATTTTTAATTGAGATCCTGAACCGAATGATGTTAGACCACCACTGAGAATCAGGAAGCAATGGACAACCGTTAAACTGTAGTTAAGCTTATTGATGATAGAATTTATTTTAACATTATAATCAAAATAGATCGTTTGTTGATTTCAGAAAAGTACTGGTCATTTACAAGATCATAATTATAAAAAGGAATACAATAAAATATTTTATATTGCTAAAATGTCAGTATAATTGAGCCTAGTTTTAGTTCAGTTCAATTCCAAATTGAACTACAAAATTAATCAAATTTAAATACTTCTGTGATGATTGCTTTCAATAAGTTGAATTAAATTCTTTTCTAAGCAAAGACGGATAGTGAATAGCAGTGGAATCTAAGACATGAGTTTAGTCCTATTTGGGACTCGTCAGCTGGATGTATCTGAATCTCAGAGTTGATGTTAACTCCACAACTCGAATCCGGTAACGTTCGCTTCAAATGCCAATACGTTATCTACCTATTTATTGAGTTCTGATAAGCACTTGCTTATACAATGAGGTGAAGTTTAAATTCACGTGGTATTGTTTACTTGCATCAACCCATTGATGCTTTTAGAACTGAAATTGATCAGTCTCTTATTGGCATATATGCATCTTGTGCATCCAGATGGTGTGTCGCAAACAGGACAAAACGTTTGTTCTGGATTCTACTGCTAGCCATTATCCATCTCTGCTTATAATGCTTGTGAATTAAGGCAATATTGAGACAATGCGCTCAGTATGCACGTATGCCAATAACAGACTTATCAATTTCAGTCTTAAAACATATTGATGGGAAGATTCAAGTAGACAATACCATGTGAATTTAGATTCTTTCCTGTTTATAGAATTGTTTAAATGTACTCAACTATTGAACAATTGTGTTGATTTTGAATTTCATTTCAACGGGTATACGTTTTAAGTAAATAAATTAAGCATTATGAGATCTTAATTATTGTTGAATAATATTTCATGCGATAATTACAAATCATTATCAGTATGAGGTTGTGGAGATTGTTAAGCTTTTGATTGAGATCATGAATTGATTGATGTTAGACCACCATTAAACATTTAAACGCACTGAACATCCATTTCAACCTAGTATAAGACTATCACGATCTCGTAAGCGAGATTCAAACTCAGAAATTTCAGTCTTGCACGCGAACTCTTAACTTCCAGATCACTGTACTGGCATCCAAAGGTGGCAATATCTAACTTCCATCCAGTATCCAAGGTAGATACCTGTCTCTACACAAGTCTCCACAAGTCACAGCTTCTCACCAGAACTTCAAGAAATCATCTTAAATCCAATGCTTGATCATCCAGTGCTTCCAGATTTTCAATGATAATCTAACATCAATCAATTCATGATTTCAACCAAAAAAACAAACAAAAAATAATCAGAAAAAGTTTTTATGGAGATTTCAGAAATTCCACTGATTGAAATCATGAGTCAATTGAAGCTAGACAACTATGGAAGATATGGAAACACAAAACAGCCGTTTCGTCCTCGTATGGGACCCCTCAGCAGTGTGCATCCACGATCCCACACCCTGCGAGATTCGAACCAAGGATCTATCAGTCGCTAAACCAACTAGACTACTGTACTGGCCGGCATCCAACGGTGTTAATGTCTAACTTCAACCAATCCAAGAAGTTGCGCTACCGTACACCATTGTCTTCAGTGAGTTGATATCTCACAACAGACCTGGTTGAGCTCCACTGGTAAAGGCTTCTCACTAGAACTCCATGAATATCTCTTGAAGTCAATCACTAGTGAGCAGATGATTATTATCAGAAAGGGTTTAGATATTTGTCATTATTTATCATTGCAATCTGATTAGAAAATAAAAAGACATTTCACATACAAACATAAAGTTCATTATAAATAGATGAACACCATTAAAACGGAAGTTTTATGAAAGTACATTATTTGTTTGATTAGAATAAATAAAGTAAATATTTTATCTATCTCTATCATTATGTGTATATTAGGAAACGACTTTGTCATTGTGATAAATGAAATAAATCAATATTCAGTTGCTAATGTCGATCAACAGGAAACTCTGAACTTAGATTTTGAGCTAATTAACTTTTATCAGGAAACGTTCTAGTAGTCTAGAGGGAAAAGATTCAATTCAATTGATAGAAATCGATTAGTACTAAGATTTATGCGAATATAGCAATGGTGACTATTTAAGGGTGAGTTAATGTTAGCATCTTAGTTCGATCGAGGTTAGATGAAGCTCGAGTAGATTAGTTGTAACGCTTCAAATTATAAAGTTGTATGATGTAGGTTTCAGTTGTAATTGAATATCAGTTTCTTTAAGAATATAAGTGTCTCATGTTGACTACTTCCAAGTACGTGATCTCAGAAAATCTAAACTTGCAGCCATATAGCAACTTGATCAATAGAGTCTAACCAGTACTATAAAATAGACTAATGTGATATTCCTCACTATTTAGCATAATGAACAAACCAATCAATTCTGCATGTTAAAATAATCCACTATTTTTCAAAAAATAACTGACAGTTGATTTAATCTGTTACATTAAAATGATTATACAATATCAGGAGTATATATATCTCATTTCTGGTCGAATTTTACCGATCGTGATGTAATATGTTAACTAGTCAAAGTGACTGGATATTATTTATTTATTTATTTTAACACATAGAGATTGGTACAAGGAGGCACCAAATATATATGCGCCACACAAATCTCATTTGATATGTGCGGGGGATGTGATACTGCCCGAGTGCCCGGACCGAAGCAGGTGGTTATGTTCGGTGGCCACACCCCGAGCCTTTGACCGAAAGGTCTGATCCACAAGGCAGTGGAGCATCGTGAGGAGACGCAGTCCCATGGTAGCCGGTGACCAACGATTGGTTCATGCGCCATTTGTTCCTCTAGGATACTGGAGGTCATGTGCACCATTGGTTTGGAATCAGGGTTTTCCAACTCCTAGGTGGATTCTCCATATCCAACAACTTAGGTTAAATTGCCACACATTCGCTTTTCGTCCTCTCACTTTCGCCAACAACACCCGTGGTGCGAGAAGGCATTGAGTAGAACTTCCCTGGCAGAGGCTATATACGCGTGGCCTTGTGAGAGCATTTGGAGAGGGAGAGCAGACTCTCCCCACTCTCGGCCGTACCACGGTATTTGAGGGCTGGATATCACATAAACGACACTTTATTGGCAGTTCACTGAAGGTAGTTAAATAAAAATTACTACAGTTTTGTTAATTAGAAATGCCTAATAGTAGTATATTTATCTACATGTAAATGTATCCACGGAATGTATATTAATTATTTCATTTCATATTTTCTATTCTTTAGTTAGCTTCATTACATTGTTTAGTCACTATACTAACACGTTTATCAGATGCAATTATTCTGAATGATGTAATACCATTTCTTTTGACTGTTTCAAATGAACTCAAATTAAATATAAACAATAATAAGTCAACTAATGAATGCGCCCATGATTTCAATATAGATATTGTCGATGATAAAGCTAATGATGAACATGATCAAACACAGAGTAATCGTGTTGAACAACCAATTTCTGAATTATGCAGTAAGTTCACCTATAGTTCAAGTAATTTGTTCACTAGTTAACGTTTTTGTTCCATCATATTTAATAACAAGTATCCTAATGGATTAGTCTTTGGTGCTAATTATTTATTATGAGCAGTTGTTTTGATGTAGCCTTTGATCTTGATAACTTAATCCATTTGAATTGTTTTTAATAATGGAATCTAAGAAGCATATTTTGTTCCATTTCATTCTGATCAGCTAAATTTTAGTGCTGATAAGCAAATCAAGACTCAAATCCAAGATATGTTGCTTCAAATTCTGATACTTTATCTACTATCCTAAATAATAATCAATAAATTCCCAACTTCCAACATGGTTGAAATCTTCCGATTACGTGTATTAAGTTATTGATATGTCTACCCATTAATATACAGAAGATAACTTGTATCGATTTAGGTTAATGCACTCTGGGACTCGAACACAATACTGTTCGCTTTAAATGCTATCGCATTATCCACTTAGCTACTGAGTCCTTATAGCCACGTACTTGTCCAACGGGGTAAAGTTTTAAATTCACTTAGTATTTTCTGTTTAGATCTTCTCATTGATGTTTAGAACTGCAAATAATCAGTCTCTTATTGAATAACGTTATGGTGCTTGAAGCCAACGGTACTGAGTTCGAGCCCCAGAGTGAACAGTTAACTCTGAAGTGCAAGTACATCCAAAATAGGACGAAGCGTGCTTACTGAATTCCACTGCTAGCCATTATCCTTCTTTGTATATAATGTTTGTGAATAAATGCTATATGGAGGCAATACACACGGTATGTACATATATCAACAAAAGACTGACAGTCCTAAACATCAATGTGAAGATCCAACCAAATAATATCAAGTAAATTTAAGAAACAATATTATTCTTTATCGCTCATAAGTAAACATTGTAGTTGTTTTATAACTTTATATATATGTGTTTACACAAAATGAAGCCTATTTCATTGATATCAATTAAATCTAAACCTCAATACTCACAACAAACTTATATAATCCCCTTTCTTATATTGATCATTTTCAAATACTTTCATAGAGATTGTTACCATGATCGTATTTATTTTCTACATAGGTCTTCTTATCATTTTCATATTGTATACACATAGAGATAAAGGGTAGTTATTGTTTCATATAACGAAGACATTATATATTTTTATTTAAATATAATAAGTAAGATTGTCAAAATTTGGTATAAATTGAATGATTCAATTCAATTAGTTATTATGTAAATCACATGAAATCCCTTTTTTTTATATCAGTAGTCAGATGATACATTAATCGTATATAATATACACAGATTATACATATTACCTTATGTGTGACATAATCATAATGATGGTTGATATGTGTATAAAAAAAGGGTAGTGGGGTGAGGGGAATTTTAGGTCTTTATTATTGATGTCATTTAATAGACAAAAGAAAAAAGGAGGGGGTGGGTGGGGTAAAGAATAGGTAATAAGACAAGAGAAAGAGAACGAATGGAAACCAGCATTTCATTTTGATTCATTGATTTGGTCTTTGAATAAACTGATAATTTATTGAAGTAAATAAAAGATAAAAGAAACTAAGTCATGATAAATTATTCAATGTCTAATTAGGTTTAGATTATTATTATTATTATCATCATCATTATGAATAAATTGATGGTAAGGTTTATCTCTCTCTCTGTGTGTGTATGTGTGTCTGTGTGCGTGTAATGAACAAGAAGTCAGCTAGGACTAACTAAATTATTATTTCATAGGAATTAACACAGAATATGTGAATCATACATTAAATGTTTTATTTACAAATCTTACATCAATTATCTTCTTGGCCTTTTGTTGCTAGCCATCCAATTTTTGATTTGTGTTACATACTACTTATGCTGACAGATATAAGTAGCATACACTATATGCATATTTCTGATTAAAAATTCAGTGATTATTATAAAAGTAATAAAAATAAATATTATTTTGAAATATAAACTTGCTTTAATGTTTGATAATGGAAGTTATGTTGAGCGATTTATTTTATACTATTGAATTTTTATATCTATTACTCAAAACCTAATTGGATCAACTATTGAGGAATTGAGTTCAGGTAGATACTCATTTGGTACATAAGTATGTATACCAATATATATATATATATATATATATATATATATATATATATAGAGAGAGAGAGAGAGAGAGAGAAACAGACAGACAGACAGACAGACAGACAGACCCCAAATGCCCTGGTATGGTCGAGAGTGGAGTGGGAACGCACTTCCTCTCGAAATGCTCTCAAATGGCCCCGCGTATACAAACTCTGTCAGGGAAGTCCTGCTCACTGCTATCTCGTAGCAGGAGTGTTGTTTGCGAAAGTGAGAGGACGAAAAGCGAATGTGCGGCAATTTAACCCGGGTTGTTGGATATGGAGAATCCACCTAGGAGAGTTGGAAAATCCTGATTCCGAACCAATGGTGCACATGACCTCCAGTATCCTAAAGGAACAAATGGCGCATGAACCAATCGTTGGTCACCAGCTACCATGGGACTGCATCTCCTCACGATGCTCCACTGCCTTGTGAGTCAGACCTTTAGGTCAAAGGCTCGGGGTGTGGCCACCGAAGACAACCACCTGTTTTGGTCTGGGCACCCGAGCAGTATCATAGCCCACACAAAAAAGTGTGGCGCATATATATTTGGTGCCCTCTTGTACAAATATTTGTGTTCAGATAAATAAAAATAAATAGAAAGAGAATGCAAAACGGATTATAGAAATTCCAACCACAAAAAGGAAATATAAGTTTTCTAAAACTCACTCTACTAAAGCTTATGCAAATGACCAGTGTAAAATATTTTGTACAAATTTCGTAAACGCGTCTACATTTGTTTTATTGAAATGGATACTAATGGTTTTAGCGTTATTTAACAGGTTTACATTTAAATACATTTACATGGTATTAAAGATTATCAAGGTCTGTAAGCAATCTTAAATAAGTTTTCAAATGTTTAGTAAAGAACTCGTTACGTTATATATTCTATTGGATGTAAAAGCTGTTATTTTAGTAAATGAACACCGATTAGGGGGATTGCTTCAAAATGTAAAATGAGTTAAATCTTCGTTATCTTGGATGGGCTGGCACAGTAATGTATGTAATGCCAAAACGTCGTAAGATCGTTGTATTCGGTCAAATAAAGACATGATATCAACAGATGATTTTACTGCATGTTTAAAATGAAACTGTGGTGTGAGCTACTTATATTCATTTAAGTAGTATATAACGTACGTTTGGTTTGATGCATTAATTGTTTTGCAAATTGATGATTGACTATATGGTATTCAGATTTTGTTGAGATAGACTGTAATTGTTTTTCTAAATACATCCGATTGTCCCCACCCGTGTTCTCCTTCACTACAAAACGTATTGATAAGTGTAGATGACTTGTTTGAATATTTAGAAGATTACTGAACAGTTTACTTGTTTACTACCAAATATTTGATAGTTACAGATTCATTGTAGAAAACACTTTTTTTTCTTCAAATTTTATTTTATTTTTTTGAAATACAAGATGCTTGGAAACAGTTACTGTATACAAAATCATATTTATTGGAACCTCAATTGATTGTTACCGAAATTTTTCCAAGTCTACTACCTCATGTTGTTGATAAAAAAGTTAGTATAACTGAGGTAAGTAATGTTTACATAATTTTGAATAGATTATAAAATCTTACAGTAGTATTATTGTGGACCTCGTGGTGGCTACTCTAATTTCTACCGACTGACCAACTTCAGACATCTCAGTATGACCCCAATATTGTTCTCAATCTCCAATATTTCAGAACACGAACTGTAGATGAAAATTGTTTATTAGGTCGGGAGAAGAATAAGAATTTACAGACGAATGCATATTTATACAGTTAGGACTACCATAAATATTGACCAGTAGGAAAATGACACCATTTCACGTTCAAGGATAGTATTAGACTTAACAGGATAATTTTTGGGATATTCATAAAAATATCCCAACAAATATGTACATATTATATAAAAATAAACTAATAACAATATCAGATAACTTAAATGAATGAATTGATTAAGGTTAGACATTAACATCGTTGGATGCCGGCTCAATGGTCTAGAGCTTAGGCGTTCGCATACGAGATTGAATGCTCGCGAGCGGAATCGTAGATGCGCACTACTGTGGAGTCCCACAATAGGATGAGACGGCTATCCAGTGCTTTCAGGTCTTCAATGATGGTCTATAATCAATTAGTTGATCATCTCAATAAAAAAGAACACATTATACGTATTGGTTTCACTCTTACTGATTTTACATATATATTCAAAAGTGGAATACTTATGGTTTATACTCCTTATGTCTGTTGACATAAGTTTTACCTAACACTAATCTGAATTAGAAAACTTGACATCAAAAGGCTAAAATTGATCGAACTGAAGAGAAAATAGAAAGTAGTTGTAAACTGGAAGAATTATCCAGAATGTGAAAGACAAATGATGGAAATTTGCAAATGAAGTTTTCAGTGTATAGTTGTTATATTTTATCAAAACATTCTACAATTTTGTATTAAACATACATTGTTTGTCCCCACCTGCGTTGTCGTTCACAACATACTGACTCAGTTTGTCAACGACATATTTAACAAAATCTTTATTATAATTATGGGTATTGAATAAACAGCAAACTATATTTCATGATTTTAAACAGCTCCTCTTTTTTTGTACAAAAAACATACAATTTCCATTCAATAATGTCCTTTACCGCCAAATCGATGGAGTTGCCATGGGTAGCCCATTGGGCCCAATTCTTGCCGATATATTTATGGGACACCTAGAACAAAAAATGCTTAAGCACGCAATCGATGGTACTACGCTGTATTGCAGATATATTGATGACACATTCCTCCTCTGCAACAATCACGAACACGCCATTCAACTACTCGATCGATTTAATAAAGCACACAAGGACATAGAGTTTACTATGGAACAAGAAGCCGAAGACAAATTCCATTTCCTTGATGTTGGGATCCGACGAACATCTGATGGTAAATTACATAGACATATTCACCATAAAAATACCTGGAGTGGTATATATCTCAATTACCATAGTTTCTGCCCAATGAGTTACAAAAAGGGTATTGTACGAACCCTTTTTGACCGCGCTCAAAAAATCTGTTCAAAAGAATACCTTGATGATGAAATTAATCTGATTACCAATGTTCTACGTGATAATGAATACCCATTGAAATTTATCCAGAAATATGCAAAAAGCAATCCTCGTGCAAAATACGATGGAGTAGAAAGAAAAACCTGCTTCTTACACTTACGTTTCAAAGGTGATGAAATTGCTGGAATAATTAATCACAGAATAAACTCCGCGTTGAAAGTCACCTACCCAGCAGCAAAACTTATGACAGTATGGCAAACGAACTGCTCACTTCAACAAACCAAAATCGACAAGCCCTCTTTCCTTAGTAGCTCCAACTGCATCTACCAATTCACATGTACGTGCCAAAGCACATACGTTGGAAGAACTGAGAGAAGAGTGCATGTCCGCATTTCTGAGCATGTTCCAAAAAACTTGAGGCTGCGAGGGAATAAGGCATTCAACAGCGCAATTGCTCGACATCTACTTGACACCGGGCACACCATCGAGATTCCACATGCTTTCAAAATTATCAATAGACAAAGAAGTACGACCACCCTCCGTTTTGCTGAAGCCATCATGACCAAAAAACTCAAACCTGACTTATGCATCCAAAAAGAGACTTTAATTAACTTATCACTACCCTGGTAACCCCTTTTTATTTTATTTATTTATTTATTTTAAAATATTTATACTCCTCCCCTATTACATAATTCTTAAACCACATTATCATTCACAAATTTCCGCCACCTGATCCTCTTAAATTATCTTAACTTTTCAAATTCTATTTTATTATTATTACGTAACCTATCTTATAATTATTCAATTCCATTATTACACCATCCAACCCGAATTAATTCCTTTTGACCTCTGACCTGTTCTAGCATATATATATATATATATATATATATATATATTTACAGTTATTTACACTCATCTATGTCAATTGTTTTCACTATATCTCAATGTAAAAATTCTATCACAATTTTGGTTTGTAAGCAGCTGACGAGAAACCTCGAAATAATATGAATTCATACTATTCTGCACCATCATTTGTTCTTGCTTTATTTAAATTCATAAAGGGAACCAATTGCATGAAACTATATTTCTGTTCATACTTTTTCCTTTGACAAACAGTGGGTTTAGGGTTATATAGTTCAGCTAATCACTAGTCCTTCACTATTTTATTCGGTATAGGCTAACAGCCATAACATAGATTGTATGCCTTTTTGAATAAATAAGAGTTAGAATAAACTGTTAATTTATTTCAACAAGATATATTACTATTATATATATTAATTCAGTAATAATTACTGTAATCAACATGGACTTATATGTTATTATTATTTGTACCAGTTTCGTATATTAATGTCTACACTATATGCACTACTGGATCTATTGGATATTCCAAATGCAGAGAATGATGATTTAACTGATTCAAAAACACAATATCGAACTGTACCGGCACTCACAGTTAATCCTCCAAGTTTAAGCAGTGGGCAAATGTCAAAAAGATCATCAAAATGTGAAAATCTGTAAGTAGATTTGTAGATAGAAACTTCTTTTTTATTGATGAACTTTTTTTCTCTGAGCTGAATGGTTTGATAGTGGAGCTTTCATCGTTCTTCTGAACGACATCATCAGCATAAACTTGAGGTAGAAATCTACCTTAGCTACAAATCTTATCCACCATCTAAGAAACTTCTTTAGATGATTTGAATTGTTCATTTTTGCACAATTCGAAAAATAAACAACATTGTTTCACTCTAAATTACTAAGCTAAAGATGAAATACTGGTTATCCTATTCTGTCATAATATGAATTGTCTTGTTAATATACATACCGGAATTGTCTAATGCCTAAAGATTGGATAGTCATACACAATGGAGAATGTTAAATTCTGAAACCCTTGGATTGGTATTATTGATTTACACTTCAATGAATAGTCTGTTAAGTCTTGATGTTTCATGCCTAAAAGCGAATGGAAAGTTAACACTTCTTGGAAATTAAACATTCTATTCGTTTTAATGATATCATTGTTAAATAACCTTTTAATTAAGCCACGGTAAATAAATTTATTTCACTTCCAAAAGACAAGCATTTACACCGTTAAGTACCGCTTATAAGATAGATTGATAGATAGATTTGTTTCCACTAATATTCCCTTTAAAATTTCAAAATTAACATACCAAAAGTATTCGATTTCCTTAAAAACAGTCAAGTCATAAGATCTCAGATTGGGTAGCCTCAATATAAATTCAACAAATGCCCTGGTATGGCCAAGAGTGGAGTGAGCCCGCCCTCCCTCCCTCTCGAAATGCTCTCACATGGCCACACGTATACAGCCTCTGCCAGGGAAGTCCAACTGGTTGCCTTCTCGTGGTGGGAGTGTTGTTTACGAAATTGAGAGGACGAATAGAGAATGTTCGGTGCTTTAACTGGGTTGGTGGACATGGAGAGTCTACCTAGCTGAGTTTGAAAAGCCTGATTCCAAACTAATGGTGCACATGTGATCCAGGATCCTGAAGAAACAAATGGTGTATGAATTAATCGTTGGTCACCGTCTACCATGGGACTGCATCTCCTTACGATGCTCCACTGCCTTATGGATCAGACCTTCAGGTCGAAGGCTCGGGTTGTGTCCCCCTTATAAAACCACCTGCTTTGGTCTGGGCACCTGAGCAGTATCAGAGCCCGCGCACAAATCGAATGATTTATGTGGCTCATATATATTTGGTGCCTCCTTGTACCAATGTCTATGTGTTTAAATAAATAAATAAAATAAAATCAGTTCCTTGATGATAATAAATATTCCTTTCTGATGAGTGTTAACTATAAAGATGTCATGAACTGATTTTTTGTAATAGATGTGATTCATCATTCAAGTACGCTTGCAATAATCATGAGAACTGATAGAAGTACTAGAAAATAAGATTTGCCTATCTTTCATCAATTCTCTTTTAAATACCCTGTAATTCTTCTCATCTTATTGTTAATCTGATTTCTCTTTTTTTTCCTTCTCCTGTTTCACTTCCAACTTCTATCCATACTACTTATAGCACACATTACAATATAAGCAGTGAAGATTATACGAACAATATAAACTGGTAAAGAATACGTATACCTTGTGTTTTTAGTTTCACAATACACTATCCAAACGATAGTAAATTGCCTGTACAAATGACTCTAGTAAGACATTAAGGAAAAAACATTGTACAACGTTTATGAATTTCCATGAGTGTTTTAATTATTTGACAAAGTAGTACTCTAAGAACTCGCAAAACTAAATGTTTGCGAGTATACATTTCCACGTTATTTGGATAAATTACGTATGTTTAGAAAACGTTTAGTGTGTTAAACTAAACTAGATCACCATGGAAAACTTGAAAACACTGAACAACCGTTTCATCCTATTGTGGTATTCCTCAGCAGTGCGTACTCACGATCCCACCTTGAGAGGTTCGAATCCAGGACCTATCGATGTTGTGCGTGAACGCCTTACTTCTCACACAATCCACGAAATTGAGCGACACGTCATCAGTGAGTTACTACCACACAACAGACCCAGTTGAACTCCGCTAGTCACGTCTGAGAAGTCCCACAATAAAACGAAACGGCTGTCTTGTCCTTCCAGGTTTTCCATGGTTCTTTAGCTTCAATCGACTCATGATCTCAACTACTGAAATAAGCATAGTATTTTTTACCCATCAAATTATCCCTATTTACACTTGTATATTGTATTTGTTGAATAATTACTGAGATGATTTAACTTAAACTGTATATATGTTATTTATTTTAGCGAAGATACAAGAATGGGTCGTAAGTTTAATTGTATGATTATTTTTCTAAAATATTATTTAAACTCTTGATAATTTGAATGGACAAAAAAACACTGAGAATATTTCGTTGGATACATAATCAAACCGTGGAACCATTGCTTCAATGGTGTTTTATTGTTTTCAATATATGATAACCATAATGTTCATAGAATATAGTTGTCAATTAAATCATTCAATCTGTACTACATCTATATCCATTATGAAACGATAGAACAAAAAGCCATATACGAAATGTATTCGTGCTAACATAAATCACTGAAATAGTTTAATCTGCTTAACAAAATAAGTTTTTGTCATAAGTATACAGCATTCAATAGCTAAGTTGATAACGTGATAACGTTTAAATTGAAAGGTACTGAGTTCCATTTGTGGAGTGGAAATCAACTCTGAGATACAAATATAGTGAACAGAACACAGGTGGGGACAATCAAACTGTGTTTAGTACGAAATTACGGAGTTACTTGATAAAATAGAAAAACCATATAGTAAATCGATAGTTTGAAAAACATCAATCCATCATATCAAACCGGACTGTTCCTGTTGCAAACATCAATCCATTGTCTCATATTTCATTGTTCATGCATTTCTTACAAATTGCATTGTGTTTCTGTTCTTCCTTTCTTGATCTTCCTCCATCTTCTGCTGCCAGACATTATGTTTTTAACTCGCGTCATATCCTACTTATATCAATATAAGTAGCACACACCACACAAGTACATCCAGCTGATGAATTCTAAATAAGACAAAACACGTATCCTGTATTTCACTCCTAATCACTATCCATCATTGCTCATCCATATTTATTTAGTTTTGATCAAAAACAAAGACTGTTCTTCTATTTTTTCTAAAATGTCTTGTCACAGTTGCCTAAATGTTAGACAATAATATACCTTATGGTTACTTATAAAGTCTATTTTACTGTTTATGATTTCTAAAGTTCTATAAAATTTTGCTTATTGTAAACAAAATGAAATTCATTTACATAAAATCAAGTTCTCTCAGTTTTGTTTTCTACCTCTAGGCATTTAATGTTTTATATTCATTCCTATTGACTATATAAACGTGACTGGACATATATATAAATATACATATAAGCTACTTTTAATGATAGAAAACTGTCCTTTATTAAATCATCATATTTCACTGAGTACCATAAATGGAATTTAAAAAAAACCCATCTCTGTATAAACCGAACTGGACTAAAGGAAAAGTAGATTATTTTCTATAAACATAAATCATTCACTCAAAATTGTATAGTGATTTTCTTTGGTTACTAAAAATAGAATAAAATCAACAGATTTGGTAATAAACTGTATAGGGGTTATGTAGATTGTTGAGTTTAAATTGATATCATGAATCGATCAATATTAGAACAATATTTGTTGAGGTTAGATATTCACACGGTTGAATATCAGGTCAGTGATCTAGAGGTTACATGTTTGTGCATGAGACTGAAAGTTGTGGATTTGAGTGTTGTGTATGGAATCGTAGATGCACATTGTTGAGGAATTCCATACTAAGACGAAAAGGCCATCTAGTACTTCTGTTTTCAATGGTGGTCTAACAATGATCCATTCATGAGATTTGGTAATATTAAGAATTAAATTATTGCTTTGGTTCAGTGTTCTTATATGGTGAATGTTGATTTCTTTCTGAACTAATGACAATTATCATTAACTCGCAAGTTGTCGGAGGTGTTATATTGTTGTCTAGGTGTAACTACTTGAAGTTAATTACTTAAGATATCACTGTACATTTAGATGTGTTGGTGAATTCAAATGAACTGAAATATAATGGTGATAAAAGGAACGAACAAAATAATACTCTAATTAGTATCAGAAAGCGTTTATTTGGGGATATAATACTAATTTCAATAGTTAAGATCATGAATTAAGTGAAGCTGCATAACCATGGAAAACCTGGAAGCACTGGACGGCCGCTTCAACCGATTGTGGGACTCCTCAGCGGTGCGTACTCACGATCCCAGGTTTTCCATGGCGGTTCAGCTTCAACTGAATCTTGATCTCAACTATTTAAATTACTATAATTTACACAGAGAAACCCCTGCCGATATCAATAAATATATGCTCACTTGTGACTGGCTTCAAGGGGTATTTCCTGTAGTTCTAATGAGAATCAGTGACCAGTGGAGTTCAACTAGGCCTGCTGTGAGATAACAACTCAGTGAAGACAATGGTGGATGTGTTGCTCAATTCCATGGATCAGTTGAAATTAGACATTAACACCGTTGGATGCCGGCCGGCTCATTGGTTTTGTGGTGAAGCGATCACGTGCAAGAAAGATAGGTCTCGGGTCCGAATCTGTTGTGGCGAGATCGTGGACACGCACTGCTGAGGAGTTCTGCAATGGGACGGTTTTCAATGGTTCTCTCGTTTCAATTGACTCATGATCTCAACTATCGAAAACAGTATTCAATAAAACTGCACAAAAATATACATTAGCAATGAGACAATGAATTATCATACTTATCAGTTCATATAGACAATTGTTGGTACAAAATTGACGGCACAAATGTCAAAAATCAAGAATGAAAAAAGAAATCCTAAGGAAAATCAGAATTTCTACAAGGATAACATTGAAGTCAACAAATAATCAGTTAACATATGAACACATTTATATAGAACCTATCAATCATTTATGTGATCAGAGATAAGCAGAAAATAATAGTGCGGTTAAACATGTATAAAACAAACACCTCATCATGGAAACTTATTTCAACTGGACGAATTGATTTTTAACGCTTAAGGAATATATTTTAAATCTTTCATTTTCACTTCCATTTGACATTGGTAGAACAAAGCTTCATAATTGAATAACATGTCTCAGTATAGTTATTCTATAAATTGTCTTCTTTAAAATCACCCCTATGGAAAAAAACAACCCCAAAACTTTAAGGTTACAAGACGGAAACTTAAAGGTTAGACGAATGATTCACTATTAAATTACTAAAAATGTCTAAATTGACTATATTTTCATTATTGAACAATCATCTTTCAATCTCACTGATTGATTACTGCCTAACATTTGACATGGTTTAATAATACTAATCCTGGTTTTATGCTAGAAATTCAAGAATGATCTATATAAAACTAAACACTATACTACACTAGTAACTATACAATAACTATCATCATTTTGTAAATATCACATTGTACTCCATAGACAATTATAGAAATGTTTAGTAAATTGGGCGAACTAAACCATTCTTCATAGTCAGCAAAGATGGGTGGTAGATAGAAGTGGAAGCCAAGACACGTGTTTCATCTTTTTTGGAACTCGTCAGCTGTATGTACTTGAATTTCAAAGTTGATTTTCACTCCTAAAATGGAAACTAGTACCGTTCACTTAGAACGCCATCACGTTATCTATTTAACTTCTGAGTCCTGATAACTCGATGATGTTCAAAGCAAATGGTACTGTGTTCGAGTCTCAGAGTGAACATAAATTCTGGGTTGCAGGTACATCCAATTAAAGAGTTCTAAATAGGACGAAACGCATGTCGTAAATTCCACTGCTAGCCATTATCCATCTCTGCCTATGCTTATGATTTAAGGCAATATCAAGGCAATGCTCACAAGATGCTTGTATATACTAATGAGAGACTGATCAATTGCAGTCGTATACATCAATGCCAAGATTTAATCAAACAATACCAAATGAATTCACACTTCATAATATTACAAGAATAGTTAATCTAACATCCAAGTATCCTACAATATTGAATAAAATAAGGTAAATCGTTTAAATCTATTCCATGTATTCATTAATTTGAAAAGCCTAATGTCTGAATAAGACTAGCGTATTAATTATTCATAAAAGAGTGTAAATTAAGAAGAAAATAAACTAATTCATTTATTGTTGTCATTTGCAAAATTCCTACCATCACTAATTAAATTTTGTTCATATTCATTATATTACTGATAATAATGACCAAGAGTAGTATAAACAAGTTATTGAGTAGATATGTAACTATGGTAATGTGGAAATGAAAAAAATAACCTTAATATATAAAGTATGTAGTGACGAATGAATATTATAGTCAATGAATAAAAAAATGACCACTTTTGGATATTAGTTGACAGCGGGCATAATGACAAGGAATGTATAACTTAAATCTAAGATAATTGAAGCTGATAAATTTGAATAAATGATCAGGAACATTGATTAAGTATGTTCTTGTTATAACTTCCTATTACTGAAAATGACAAATATAAATACACCAGCCAAACATTATATTCAGGTTATCTTCAATAAGAATAGTCAGTTTTATTCAAAAATATTGTCATGAGTAATGGAGTTCAACTATGACTCGTGTTAGATGACTATCTGTGGTGTTTGGATGAGCTAATGATTCCTTTGTACTTGTTGAATGCTTGATTTTGAATTCCAAATACAGTAAAGTCGTTCATTCTTATCTAGTACATCTTGATCCGATGACGTTATTTTTGGGATTCTTAGTTTGTACTATAATTCAAATACTCATAATCATCATACTATCATCAACGGAAGTGAATGATAGTTAGGTAATGTCACTTAAACCTTATTGGCAGAATCCAATCCACTTTAAGGAAATAGCTCAAACTCTGAATCTGGATAAAGTAGGTTTGAATCCCACATGAAAAATCATTTCCCTACAAGACGTCAAGTATAGCCCTCTGTTGAGTTCTAATTAGCTCGAATCTTGTTTCCGGGTTTTATAAAAGTTTACTTTCAATTGTCCGTAACCGTTTGGCATATATTAGATCGATTGAATTTGGAAACGTGAAAAAGTGAATTCATGATAACTAGTTTCTTCTTCTCGTACTCATCGACGAATTAGACAGTTATTAAATCGATCGCGAACATCCGAATTAGAAATCATAGATAGGTCACGCGCTATCATTTTACTAATGATTGCATTTCTCGACAATTTTATTTTCCCCTAAAAGAACCTAACCATTCAGACAAGGAGAAGTCAGT